GTCCTTGTCCTGCAGGTACCTGAGCAAGTTGTCCTCTGTGGTCTGGTCTCCTCTGGGCGCCATCCTTGCTGAGGGCTTCATGGCAGGCAGCTTTATCAGATGCTCCAGCAGAAGTTGGCCCTGCCTATGATAGAGCTTCAAATAAGGCTGTGGAAAAAAGTACTCAGCCTTATCTTTGCTATTAGAGCTGGGACTGCTAGGGACAGCTCTGTATCAAGGCTACAGTTTTAGTGAGGTTAGAACTGTGCTGCCTTAGCTCACATTGGCTGTGAGGGGTCTCTGGCCTTGACTTGTTTCCAAGTCCTCTTTCCGTCTAACTGGAGGTGGTGATGCTGCTCTCTGTCCACCCAGGTCACCACAAAACGGGCACAAGCCTGGTGCTACAGTAAAAACAACATCCCCTACTTTGAAACCAGTGCCAAGGAGGCCATCAACGTGGAACAAGCTTTCCAGACGATTGCACGAAATGCACTTAAACAGGTATGAAGGGGCTGGCGGTGCCCTCTGCTGGTGCTGGCCCTGCGTGCCGGGCTCAGCCAGTGCAGGCGGCTGGGAAGGCTTGGGCTCTCCACCAGCTTTCCCCGGCCCTTAGCGTGCTGAGAGCGCTGTGGGGAGCTGTGGCATTAACTCTTCCTTCCCTCCTGCTAGGAAACCGAAGTGGAGCTTTACAACGAATTCCCCGAACCCATCAAACTAGACAAGAACGACCGAGTGAAGGCTTCTGCGGAGAGCTGCAGCTGCTGAGGGAGGAGGGAGGGGTTGAGCACAGTCCTTCACAAACAAATATCACACTTAGGCCTTCAAACACACAGCCCCTCTTCTGTGTTTAAAAAGAAAATTTAAAAAAAAAAATAATAATTCCATCTCCAGCTGCCAAAATCCACCCATCTCCCATGAGCATCTGAGAGCCCAGCACTTCAGAGCTCACATCCCTGCACCATCCACATCACACTTCATGGTAACAGGCCTTTCTCTTAGTTTAAAATGGAAATTCGTATGTATGTTTGGAACTGAATCTAATTCCAGGTGTCCAATGGAGAGAAACTGTTTACAGGTAATCTGTGTAACAAGTTACATACATTTTTAACTGTCTTGTGTTTTCCCCTGTGAAGGCTGCAACTGGAAAGGCTGATTACCCATAGTTCATTGCAAGCTCAGCACTCAGTCTAACTAGGTTGAGTTTTGTATGTATCTCTGTTAATGCTTGTTACTTTTAACTAATCAGATCTTTTTACAGTATCCATGTATTATGTAATGCTTCTTTAGGAGAAATCTTATAGTACATGTTAATATATGCAACCAATTAAAATTGTATAAATTAGTGTAAAATTCCTGAATTACATGTTCAAGTACTGAAACACAGATTGTGTAGAAAGTGAGGAGGACACTTGTGAGCTGTGGTGTGCTAGCGACACAGAGTCCAGATAGAGGCAGTATTCTGTACAGTAGAGATGAACTATGTAAGTCGTCTTGTTCTGAGGCCGACAGGCTTCATCTTCTGGAAAATCTGTCTGGCTACCTTGTATCTAAATTCTGAGATTTGCATAACAGCATTGACATGCACACTGGATTATTGGGTTTAAAATTAAATACAGCTATGAAATGACCTCGCTGTTCACCTCTCCTCCTGCTTAACTCCTGATGTCCTGGATTGAATATGAGAAGGAGCCAGAGCTGGGGTGCTGCAGTGGCTCTCTGTGCTGTGGAAGGAGCTCCTCTCCCACCCGGGTTAGGGTAGCTGTGTCTGAATGAACGACCTGGACTATGGATCTTCCTTTTCTTCTTACTGACTGCTAATCTGGATTTTTTGGGATGGGGAAACTTGGCACTCTAGCCCCTTTTCTCTCTCTTCCTTTCTTCCTGGTATTTGTTCTTGCGTTTGTAGCTTGCTTAAATGGAGCCCTTCTACCTGTTTTCCAGAGGTCTACATTCTAGTACGTAGGCTGAGCTCTTATGTAAAGAGACAAACATGATGCCAATAAACTAAACAAGAACAAACTTCCTTGTTTACTTCTGTTTCTGACTCTCTTTTTTCCTTCACTAACATGCTTTCTTTCTCCTGCTCTGTCACCTTTTCATTGAACTGGTGCCTCCTCAATGGTGCAGCCTCTGTACTGTAAGGTTGTTCCCTTAAGAGGGGGGCTGGGCAGGTGTTATTTAGTTGGGTGACCCCACACACCTCAGTAGGGCAGCTATCTCTGCTCGTGCTCCTTGGGTTGAGCAAAGGTTCTCTGCCTGATCTGGTCTGCTCATCCTGAGGCGTGCAGTTCCTAGGTTCTGGGCATGACCTCTGCTCTGCTGCCACCTCTGCTGGCACTCAGTGCTGCCTCACTCACTGCTGTGTCTGCAGCAACACGGAAAGCAAAGCAGCGAGAAACGAGGCCAGTTATTTCAAGGGACTTCTAACAGCCTTTGTGTTCTGTATCCTACTTTGTGGCTTTATCCTTGCACACTTTTCTCTTGCTTGACTGGCTGTTGCTGTCCACATCCATTTCAAACAACTGCCCTGCAATTGCTGTGTCCTGGTGGGACTGCATCTTTCTGAAGAACTCGAGCCTTGTGCTGATTGCCATTGAAAGCATCACCTCATGCCTGTGCAGGCTGATGCTGGCTGGGCTGATTACTCCCTGCAGTGCCCATTGTGTTGAGGGGAAGCCACTTCTCTGCTGAAGCATCAGCCCTGTCCCCATGCACCTGCAGCCCTCAATGGCCTCAACCACAGCACCCAGCTGTGAACACAGCCTGGCTGCACCTGGGGAAATGAGGGCACACAGACATGCTTCTGCCTGCCTCGGGTACATGGAAATGCATTTATCTGAAGTTTGTGTGTGTTCTGACATATATCAACACATCTACACAAACTATAATGTATATATTGTGTGAGTAAATATGCATACATACATGTGTATGTGCACAGGGTTATGTGTACGTGGAGAGCCACAGAGCAGAAGCTGGAGGGCATACAAGAGCACAAAGAAGCCCGCAGGTCCCTGTGTGTGTTCTGCTGTCTACACAGCCCCTGTGTCAGCATGCTTCAGTTTAATTAGAAGTGTCTGATTACGTACAGAGCTAGATGGATGCAAACACGTTTATGGGCTCTATTTGCACACATCAGATACGTATGCACACATGGGTGGGTGGTGCATGAGTGAGGTGGATAGAAAATATGGACACATGCAGTCAGTTACACCTATAAGCAGTATACTAGATGTATAAGCACTATACTCAGTACACATGCATACCCACAGGACAATAATCTGTGTGTGGATGGCGATGGATGGATGGATGGATGGATGGATGGATGGATGGATGGATGGAT